AAAATTTAACAATTTTACTGATAAAAAATGTTTAGAGAAATTTTTTGAGATGTTTATAAGAAAATTTTCTTTTAAATTTTTTTTAATTTTAAAAATTAATTTTTAAATTTAAATTACAACACTTATAATTTTTCTCTTACTATCAAACTATTGTAAATAAACTATGACAAATACAACAAATTTTGTTTGGAGTATATATAAAAGGCAAAGCCATCAACCTATGAAAAATAGATTATGACAAATACAACAATTATTGTTTAGAGTATATATAAAAGGAAAAGCATGAAGTCATCATGGATTGATAATGCCCTTTCAAATAAATGTAAGGCCAAAGTTTGTTTACATAATTGTAATTACCTGTATAAATGATCTCTTGTTTATTTTTTAATTTAATTTAAAATCATTAAAATTTGGCTAAAAAACTAAAATGACTTGTATTTTTTCAAATAAGCTCTAATTTTTTTATTGCATTTAATTAAGTCTTTAAATTAATATTTTTATTTAATTAAACCTTCATTTTATATTAAAATCACTAAAATCCATTAGATATAAAGTGGTTTAATTAAACAAAAATAGTACTTTATGTAAGCTCTTATTTTATCCGAAAAATTAAGTATTGTGATCATTTTTATATTGATTATTAAAATTTTATAAAAATTTTATTTTTTTTTTATTATTATTTTATCTTTTCATCTTTTTCCTTTATTCCTTAATCCTTTTGTCAATTGTCTGTGTATTTTTTCACCAAATTCAAGCTTACCAGATGACATTGTGCATCTTTGCACCAAATTCAAACATGACAGATGACTCTGTGCATCTTTTGCATTGAATTCAAGCTTGCCAGTTTATGATCTTACTTTGCAAGCTGTGATTTCAAAATTAGCGTCCCATTTTTCTTTCATAATCCCTTCAAATTCAAGATTGGTTTTAAAAAATTTTGGTTATAAATACAAAATCAATTTACAAGGGGGGAAGAGGCTAGAAATTGTTTTGAAAAATTAACACTACCTCTGTATTGATTCACTTGTCACCAAAAAAAAAAAAAAATCAGAACAACAACACTACATAAACTCAGTAAAAAAAAAAACAAACAACTAAAAAAAAGTTTTCAACCGAAAATTAAAAAAACCTTGATTTGGGAAGTTTGAGATTTTTTTCAAGAAAAATCATTTTTAAAAAAGTGAGGAAGAGAATAAGGGGATCATTTTAGAAAAATTTGAGATTTTTTTTTTTTAATTTTGACCTCGTCAAAAATTAAAAAATTTTAAATTTTTTGATGATTATTTAAAATTTTCAATCACCGAATTTTGTGTTTATTTGAATTTTTTAGTAATCATTGAATTTTTTAATCATCAATTTCTACAAAACTACATAAATCTAGATTTAGATGAATTTTTTTATCGGCTTAAAAAAAAAAAGAATTTGAAGGAAGAGAGAGAGAGACCGGTCCAAGACCGTTCCAAACCGGTCCAAGACCGCTCCAAATCACTCCAGACCGAGGTGAACTACAACTGACCACCTGTTGCTATTGACCAAGTTGACTTGTCGTTGATTGGAGAATTTTGGTATTTTTTATTTTTTCTCTTTTTTATTTATTCTATTTATTCTATTCTTGTGTTAGTTTCAGTACTTTAATTTATAATTTACGATATGTTAAAATAAATATAATAATAAAATATAAAATTTATAATAATGAATGAATAAAAATAAATAATAAAAAATAAATAAAATAACTATAAAATCACAAGTAGTGATTTTATTAAAAAATATTTACAAAAAATTTAAATATTATAAAAATTTTAGAATTTTTTAAGTATAAAAAAAAGTTGCTAATACCTATAAAATCACAAGCGATGGTTTTATTTGCATAAAAAATTTTCTAAAATATTCTAAAAGTGTTAAAAATATTTTAAAAATTTTTTCAAACATAAAAAAATTATTAATAAAAAAATAAAATCACATGTGGTGATTTTATTAAAAATATTTATACAAAGGAACTTTCTAAAATATTCTAAAAATGTTAGAAATATTTTATAACTTTTGTAAGCATAAAAAAATTATTAATAAAAAATAATGTCACAAGTGATGATTTTATTAATATTCATATAAAGAAAAATTTTAAAGTATTTAGAAATTTTCAAACACAAAATAATAAATAAAATAATAAAATAACTATAAAATTAAAAATGGTGATTTTATCGAAATTCCTAAATAAAAGATTTTCTCAAAATAGTCTGAAAGTGTTAGAAATATTTCAAGAATTTAACTAATAAATATTTTTATGTCAATAATAAAACAAACAATAAATAAACCTTACAAAGTATATTAAAATTTTCATCAATAATAAATTATGAGAGAATCACAAGTAGTGATTTTCTTCTAAATTTTTAAAATCATACCATAAGTATTTGTATAAAGAAATTATAATCTACTTTGCTTTCAAAATATTAAAATAAATCAAAATACAGAGTCTCTTTAAGGAAATAAGTAATTTCTTTGAATACTTTTGAGGTGAAAAAATTTCATAAGTTAAAACAAAAATATCAAAAATAATTTAGAAAATTTCATTATTTAAATAATAAAAATGAAAATGATGAAGTAATAAGTATAAGACTATTTAAACAAGACCAATTTATGATCATATAAAATTAATTGGTGCCATATTTAAATAGGTGATGTGAAAGTGCTATAATATTTTTCACGTGTAATAATATTTTTGAACCTAATTTCAAAATTTTAAATCAAATGATAGTAGTGGCTAATTATACCTCAATAAAAAATATTGATAATAATTTCTTAACTTTTTATTTTTAGCGATTGACTTTCCAAAATGATACATTATGACACTTTAAAGATATTATATAAATATATATATATAGTATTTATCTATAAATTGATAGTGCAAATTTTTAATCTTACATGAATTTATATTATTAGCATGTGTTTATTTAATAATTATATAGTTGATACAAATATTCCTTAAATATATACTTTAAATGGATATGTATCATCTGTTTAAATATCTTCATAGAACTAAAAATTTTATCATTAATATATTAAATAATAATATTATATATGTATATATTAAAAAACTCTATTTGCGCTGATGTACAGAATAATTAGTCCAGATTCGTCAAATGAATTAAAAAGAATTTTTCAACTGTGGACTGACCCAAAAGTGATCCAATATATAGAAATAGATAATCATTTAGATTTGGTATGGTTGGCATTTTTATTATAAAAAAATTCTAAAAAGTAAAAAATTGATAAACAAATAATAAAAATATTAACCCAATAGAGTCGTAATTAATAAAAAAAAAGACACATGAAGAACAATGAACATTAAAATAATTTGCATTTGAAGGTAAAGTATTGAAATTTAGTAGCCTATCTTCTACAAGTAATAAAAAAATTTAATGAGTTAAAAAAACAAGAGAGCAAATCGTGATTATCGTGTTGCAATTCTATCGTTGGACAATGATTGGGTTAGTGAAATTATATTCATATATTAATTCATATTATTTAAAATTTCAGTGAAAGTTTTTTTTTTACCTTGTGTTATTTAAAATTTATCTTAAATTAAACAAATTTCAATAAAATATTATCGTCATGAAATATTATCTCATGTAATCATGCTTATAATATATCTTCCATTCCAAATTGTTTGGGTATTATTGATTTTCTTAGAATTAAAAAAATTAATTTTAATGTATTTATTAATAAAATTAAAGATTCATATCATAAAAATAATTTTAAAATATTAAAAGTAAGAATTTTATATGTTAAAAAAAGAAAGAAAACATAATTTTGTGATATTCTAAAAAAAGATGGATAAAAAAAAGGGATGGAGAAGGTTTTTATTTTTAATAATTTATAAATTAAGTGTAAAAGTATTAGGAAAGGTGGGTTTCCAAAAGAGGGAGAAATAAGTATGTGAAAAAAATTAAAAATCTTTATTAAGGGTGTTCAAATTTTGGTTAAAATCAAATTATTTGACTAAATTAAAATATTATGATTAATTAGTAAGTTATTGAAATAATTTCAATATACTTTCCAAAATGATTTTGAATATATTTTGATATTTAATTAATTTAATTTGAAATTAATTGAATGATTAACCAATCAAATGAATATCCCTGCTTTTTTATTTATTAACAATATGTTTTGATTAGTCTTTCACCTCTTAGTCTAGTGGTTAAGAGGTTTTAAAAAAAACATATGGATTTGAGTTTTAACGCTCTCATCTCCCTTCGCTTTTGTACGGTCGTTTATCCTTCTTTGAAAAAAAAAAAAATGTTTTGATAAGAATGAAAGAAAATAGAAGAAAAAAAAATTTAAGAAGAGTTGTTTTGCTTTATGTAAGATAAAAAAATAAAAGGAAAAAGAAAGTCAAGAGTAAGTTTATAAATAAAATAATTAACTTAAATATAAAATTTTTTTTCTAAACTTTTAATTTTAATAATCAAAATTTAATTATTCGTAGTTTAAAATACTAAAAAATATTTTTCTCTCGATCGAAAAGATTAGATTTGAAGGAAACACACGATACAAATCTACCTTTTCTTTTACAAAACAAAAGAAAAAAAAAACTATATTTTCTTTCTCTTTTACCAAACATAGTATAAAAAAAATTAAAAATATTTAGAACCAAGATTTTTCGAACAAAAAAAAGTTGTCAAATTCTTAAGCCCAAATCCAATAAGTAAAAATTCTTTCTTCCATTCCGAAGCAAACAGGGTCCATTTCATTTGGGGCTGGACTTATGCAAGGGCTGACCCAGAATCGATGGGTTTTTACCAAAAAAAAATTGCTTCATGTTTTCCCGCCTTCCTGCTTCTTCGATCAAACATTTTGTCCGTCCAAAAAGGGATTTTCGGTTTCCCACGAAAACGAAGGAGAAAAAGAAAGGGAGCGTTTGGCTGTCTCTTGAGGCTCTAAGCTCTCAGCTTTCAGGTGCCTTAGAGCAAAAGCGAGATGAAGATGTGGAGGCTTTGGTGAAAATGGATACACCAGATAAAACCGAGTTCACTCCAACTGCTTCTCTTTCAAAATTTGAGGTCTTCTTTTTTTTTTTTTAATTTTGTTTTATGAATTTAGTTTAGTGTTAATTATGGTTGTTTACTCAGAAATTTGGTTAATACCCTTTTATTTTGTGTGAAAGGGTTTTGGGGTTTTAATACTTGTATATGTTATGTGGGTTTTCGCCTGTGAAGGTTATTTTGTTTTATTTTAGTTTAAATTTTTTGTTCTTTTCATTTTGGGTTAATTTTTTGATACTTTAGACTTAATTGTTGATGGGATTTTTTTTTTTTTTGTCTTCATTATTGCCCTTCATTTTTTAGTTGTAGGTAGATTACTGTTGCTTTAAGCGTTAGGATAGTTGTTGAATTAAAAAAGAAAAAAAAGCAAAAGAATCCATGAAGGGAAGTGGAAGTTTTCCCTAGTTTAATCAAACTTCATGCAGTAAAATATTTGGATTCTTGACCTTTGTAAAATTATTCAATCTCAACCGTCTATAGTGCCGGCATCAACATGGAATTTATAGTCTTATTTAGAGCCACAGGGACTCTTTTACTCATGGATGGTTGAGATTTTGTAATTGACTAATCGTGCACTTGAAAATGTTGGTCATGTTCTTATTTTGTTTGTACGGAATGATATAAAGAGGATACTTTTTTGTGATTTGGTTTAGATTGCTTTAACTTTTTGTTTGTTTGGTTGTTTGATTGCTTGTTTTCTATTCTACTTGATCATTTGTTAATCAGGTAATTTAAGACTTACATGCTAAGTTTTAAATGTTGCTTTCTCCCTTTGTAGGATTCACCTGTCTTTAAGTACATTGACAGTCTTTAACCTATTGAGCTAGCCAAGTCCAGGCGGACTGATAATGTTTTCAATTCACTAGATTGTTTGTCCCCTTCGTCTTTGTTTCCTTCCCTCAGTTGCCATAGGGAATCCAGGTTTTTGGTTGAAAGGTAAAACTAAATGTCCTTATTGTTTTATTTAGTTCAATATTTTAAGTGTTTTAAATGATGTTTGTTTCAGGCATCATTTCTTGGCAGCTTCAAACTCCAGGGTCCTCCAGAGTGGTAATGACTCTAATACAGGCGAGGGAGCTTCAAAAGCCATTGAGCAATCTGACTTGGGTGATGAACATCTGGGATGTCTCAATAATGGCAGTTCATCCAAAGGAATTAGCAGTGATCTACTTGATGAGCAATCATATTTAGCAATCGGGTTGCCAAGAGCCTTGAAATATGATTGTGGGAGTCCTGATGGTAACTTGGAGCCTTGTGATGAGATACTGAAAAACCCAAGCGTGGAACTGGCAGGAGAAGAGAGATCTCCTTTCCAACACAACAGGGATGAAGGGAAAGAGAGGCAACGGTTATTTGAAAATGAAAGAGATTTGTGTAAAATATGTCAAATTAAGTGGAATGAAGAATCAGCAGGATGTGACTGGTTGGCAATTGTTTCTGATGGTGCTGATATGTTGACAATGAATTCACCTATCATTCATGAGAATACCAATGGGCAAGATCGGAGAACAGCAGACCGTGGGACAACCTCTTTTCTATCAACTATCCTGCAGTTCCCACTAGATAATGCCAATAATTTAGAAAATGCAGAATCAGGTGATCCTAGCAGTTCTTGCAAACAAAGTGAATTGCGAGAGCCAATAACAGGTCAGACACCTGGCATCCTGTCTAATTCTCTACTGGACAAACTAGCAGTCAGTGATTCAGGTTTGAAAAAGGATAACAAAGGGAAGAAGTGCAACCAGTCCAGTTGTCAGGTTAACTTAAAAACCTATACTTGTGTAATGCTTTCTTCAAGCAAACTGCATATTTAAGATAAGATAATATTTTATATAAAGTTTTTTTTTTTAATATTTCTTTTGAGAAAATGAAAAGAGGAGTGTAATTGAGCCAATCATTATTGTGAAATGTTTACCTTAAATCATGTAAGTTCCTTATAATTGTATGTTTATTAAGTATGTTTTCTATGTGATTGTGGTTTCTGAAATGTTTACACTATTTGTCCTACTCAGCGCATTGACACTTTTCTGTAATTATCCTTAATGCTATTCTCTCAGCAGCCTAGCATCCGATGGCGCTGTCTGGTGTTTGAGAAGTCACCTGGTTTCGGTTTGCACTTGAATTCACTTCCAAACATCTCAAAAGGTGGTACTTCTTTAGCAGGAGACTCTAGCTTCTGAAAAGCAATTGATATGCATGTTGGGCTCCTTGACATTTTCTATGTCTCTGACTGCAGGTCAGAATCCTCTTAGTAAATAACTCTAAGCTCTATGAAGAGGGGTGAGGTTCCTCATGACAACAGAATTGTGGTTACAGGATATTCTTCTGAGATAACTGCTAGTGTTGATGGCAATGAGGCTGACCATAATAGTCTGGAAATGAAGAGGCATGTATAAGATTTCTAACTTTTAAAACATGCATTCAAACACCTTGATATACAAACTGATGAGTTTAGTGCTGTGCAGGCAAAATTTTGAACTTGTCGATGAGAGTGCAGCATGCAAGTGCTGTAACTGTAAAAGATCAAAATGCTTGAAGCTGTAAGTCTGAAGTATTTTTTAAACCTATATTTAGTGTCAGTGTGCATATTCTTTCAAGTGTTTCACCAAGTCAATTTTGGATTAATTCCTCCATTTGTGATACTCAGGCCCTTTAAGTACTTCGAATTAAAACTTAGGTGAATGAACAGTTTGAACTTCACTTCCTACATCTAAAATTAAAGATATTCAGGCCCAACTTTATGGTGCTAAATATTTGTGAAACTTGGTTCTTACATATCTCTAGATGCAGCAATAAGTCTATGCTGATGTTAAGGGCTGTCAATTCTACCTTTTTTACGTTATTTGTTTGATTTTGTAATATCATATTAAACTGTTTCAATTTTAACAGTGAGTTTTAAATCTTAGGGAATACTACTTCAGGCAGCAAAAGGTGGCGTACTGCTTTTGATTTCTATGATTACTTAATGAATCAATTTCCAACAGCCTATTAGAATGATATGGGATTTAACAACCATGTTTTCCTTGTTTACATCTCCTTATTTGGATATTTCTGTTTGGACTGTCTTGGTTCTCTGCTGTCTAGTTTTATCGCTACTTATTATAGTCACTGCCATCAATTTCCACCTGTTTCTCACGTTTGGAATTCAACTACTTTCCATATTGCTTACATGGTTCTACTGGCTATATTTTGTGATACAGTTTGTGTCTGCTTTGCTGCTGGTCTGTAATGTATTGAGCCTTGTTCGTATCAAGATTGCTTCAATAAGCCAATTCATGAAAATATGGTACTAGAGACTCGCAGACAGATTGAATCTCGCAATCCACTAGCATTTGCTACCAAAGTGATTAGAAGCACTGACAGTTTTTTGGACTGCTGGGTTAGATACTATTTTTATGATTAAGCTGCTGGATATTAGAGCAGAATCAAAGTCATCAAAGTGCATTGCTTATCACTTAATTTTGGTATGTGACATTTTTCTTGGTATATTTGAATAAGGCACATGAGATAGGGGAGTTGAACCTTGGATGTTGACACTCCTTTGGATGGTTAACAACCACTTGGCCAAGCTTTGGTTCTTAGCATGAGCTCATCTAACATGGCTCATGATCTTGTGATGCTTTGTCAACATAAATATGGGAGTGGGCTTTGATGACAATTTTGCCAAATTTAAATAATTGGTCTATTCTTTGGGCAATTCTACTTAAATCACATAAAAATGGTGTTGCTCATGCAGGGTGAAACTAACAAAACTCCAGCTTCAGCCAGGCATAAAAGAGGATGCAATTGTAAAAAATCAAGTTGCTTAAAGAAATACTGTGAATGCTTTCAGGTTTGTCATTTCAGCTCATTCTGCACGCAATGTTTTCTTCACTAATCTGATATGGATTTTTTTTTTTTGTGAACAAAGGCTGGTGTGGGATGCTCTCCTAGTTGTAGATGTGAAGGTTGTAAAAACAGTTTTGGGCCTAAGGATGGTGAGTCTTTATCTGGTGTATTTTTGGCCGAATATAAATCTTAATGACTGGAACTGATATTCATTTTTCGTCCCCTCTCCATTATAGTTCTTTTCAATTATCTTATAGTGGCAGTATGTCTGACATGGCCAGTGCATTCCAATTTTCTAGTATTTCCTAATATGGCCTTTTTTTTTCCACTAGGTGGTGATGAATCTGACTCTGAAGGGGAGGACTTACAGGCCTGTAAAAGGAATGCATCAGAGAAAAATTCAAGCAACATTGTAATCAATAAAGGTGAAGAGCATCTAGATATTTCAGTACCTTCCTCTGATATTTCCAGGTACTATTTCACATTCTCTTAGATTAGTTAGGCTATCCTTATACCAAGATTAGTTCAAGTGATTAAGTCTACACCATTTTGCAGGGTGCCATTTGCTTATAGCGGGAAGCTTTCAGGATCATTTGCCTATTCTGTTAGGTCATCTCCTCAGTTGTGCACCACTCAAGAACATGGCTCATCAGATTCTTCCTCTTGTCAGCTCCAAGTTCAGTTCACATCTTCAGGCAATTCCAGAAGATGAAACTCCTGAGGTTCTGAAACATAAATGCGTACCTCTTGATCCGAAACCAACCTCTCCAAACTGTAAGAGGGTTTCACCTTCACATCGTGAATGCAGTTCATCCACTGCATGGCGTAGTAGGAAGTTGATACTGAGATCTGTCCCTCCATTTCCATCATTCTCTCCACCATGAAAAAAGCTTTGACTTTTCAAAACACTTGTTAAAGTTATCATTTTCTTCATAATGCTGGTGTTCTCCAGCAATGGGATTTTGAGGCAATTCCTTTCCACATATAGTAACAATGTACTTCCACTATATGCAATGCATCTTCAGAATAGGTTGTCCCTGTAATACTATGTTTTTTTTTCTTCTTGTCTCCGTAAATTGTAGCTGACAATCATCATAATGATTAATTTTGAGTGTATAATATTTACTATGGTATGTTGCTTAAATTTTTTTCCTGAAATATTGATTAAAGCTTCTGTAGAATTAAGCTCCCAAAACTTTAACGGTAGTTTTGATTCTGGTTTGTAAAGTTCTCCTGTTTAACAAGGGAGGCTTATGGGGATATGATCAATCATTCAGTGAAATGAAAATTTAGGCAATGTTTAGGCCATTTTGGATAAGTGAATTGCAATACCTTGCTATCACAGATAAAAATATGCACTGCTTCTAAATGATTTATATTTGTTTATTTTATGTCTAATATGTATAAAATATAAAAATTATTATGTCCCAAGTCAAACACAATATTTCTTGGTTTTTGTCAAATTTATATATAATTTTGTTTAAATTTTAAATCATATTTTTTTTCATATCTTTTTTAATCGTTTCATCATATCTTTTTTTAAATTATTAGTTCTAATAATAAATACAATCAGAAATTGAAACATAACCAACAAACAGCTTTTAAATGGAACAAATATAAGCTTGTGCCAAGTTATAAAGAAAACTACAAATAGTTCCGTCAAGTAGAAAGATCAGATCAGATATTCCACACAAAATTTGCAAATCCTAGCCAATACCACTACAGAAAGTTTTAACTTAGAGCAATCTAAAAGTTGAATGATTTTTTTGCAGCCAAGCAGCTAACCCATCCGAGCACGCTTATTTCTACATTCCTGGGGCTGAGTCTCTTTCTCAATGGAGATGGCATCAGAGTTTTCCTCACTTGGCTGATGCAAGAGTTTAGACTTAGACCTTGTACGTGGTCCAAAATTCTGCATTTCAACCTTCTTCTTCTCCCGTTTCCTTATACTTTTCTCTATCTTTCCAAGAGGGAAATAAGCTCCAAGATTGTAAAGTTGAATCAATTTAATCACAGCTTTCAGGTCAGCAATCTCTTTGGTTATAGCCACAATTTGAGTTGGAACAGATTCATCTCCATGTTTGCGTTCCCTGAAGGTTTTCTTTACTTGCCTCAAGTGATCCTGGAGAAGAGTTGGTAGCGAGAACTTGTCAGCCATGTCGAATTCACATATAAGTTTGATTGCCTGAAGCCGAAAATCTTTTTCAGTAAGGTTTTGGATTAAACTACAGCGCTGCAGAATTTTAGACTTTGACCTTGTGAATGGTATTTCAAGTTTTTTAAAATTTTCACTGAATCCACACTGTTTCACAAATTCTTTAAAACGTTTCTCTTTTGCCTCGAATTCTCTCTCTTTTTCTTGAAGTCTTGCTTGATGTTCAAACCTTTCTTGAGCCATCAACAAAAGTTTCTTTTCTTGCAAGTCAAGCTTTCTCAACTCTTCCTCAAACCCTAGTTTAGCCAACTCAAGTTCTTTTAGGAAATCTTGTATCCTATTAATCTCTTTCTGACTTGTCTGTGATTCTCCCGTCAACTCCAATTCCTTCTCCCGACGTTCAAGCTCTTCACACCTTTGTTTAATATCATCTTCCTTCTGATTCAGCTTTTCTTCCTTCAACTTGAGTTCCCCAAGACTTTGCTTGATGGTTTCTTCAATGGAATGAAGCTGCCTGAAACGTTCATCAATGGAGTTTCCAATGGAACTATAATGATTTTCCACTTGTTTCAATTGATGGGTAAGTGAAAGAATGGAAGAAGCATCACTGTTAATCTTATCAAAAATGTTACGAAAACTCTCCCTGGTTAAGTTAGAGAGGCTCTAACCTAGATGAAGACATTGTCTCCATAGCCAAGAAAAAGAAACCAAAAAAAAAAAAAAAAAAAGGAAAATCAAAGGAGATTACGAAGATGGAGAAAAGTTTGCAAAGAAAATAATGAAAGATATTGTGTTTAAATAGACAAACTTTTCCTTGTTGGAGAAGAATTTATACTGTCCGTTTAACTATAGTCCAACGTATATTAAGTTTGAACTTGTAATTTAAGAAGGTCAAATATCATAAATTGGTAAATCTCCATAAACAAGTAGGAATTCCCTCCGAGTTAAATGCTTTTATTCAAAATAAATTAACTGTTAATTTAAATTTTAATAAATTTAATTGAATTGATTCATATAATTATTTTAAATTAAATTAATCTAATTATTCATAAATTGACTATTTATGAATTCATGATATCCATAACTAATTAATTGTAAATGACTAATATTATTTAAATTTAATATTTTGAGTATATATTTTTATCTACCATTGATTTATATAAATAATCATAAATCAAACCAATATTGCATGAATCCAACTATCATAAATTTAACCAGAGTCTGTTATATTTATAAACTGAATTAATTGTGAATGAATATAATTAGTGATCAGTGTTATTTAAGTTTTAACATATCTGCTGCATGGACAAAAAGATACAATCTCATCTCATTCTCTTTAACAATGGGCATGTACCACATTCCAACAGCTAAATGAGGGTTGCAAACTAAAAATTTAAACAGGTTTCAATGTTATCACGGATAATATAGGAACAAAAAGCTCTCATCCAGTCAAAATCATTTAAAAAAAAAATGCTGAATAAAAACTTTCTAGGCTAAGGTGCCAAGCTAGTTCTTCACATCAATCACAATAATGAAATGTAAGGGCAAAACTTCCAGATGTTGTCTACTCAACCAAGCTAAAAATGGAAGTATCACTATACTAATTAAAACAAAGCTCTTTAGGCTCCAACAACCTCAGTTTCCCCCTCTGCCATTGTCTCATCAGCTGGCCTCTCCAACTTCACACCATGATCCTCAGAATAGTCACCGTGTACCTGCAGATGTTGACATTGCATCAAAAAGAGTACCAAGAACTAAAAACCGAATTACATGACATGATACAACTATTGAAGCCAAGTTTATAGAAAACCAATACATACCTCCATCAACTTGCCAAGATCAAACTTGGGAGCCTTCAGGATCTTGACTTTACGAATGAAAACATTCTGTAGGGGATAAATGCTTGAGGTAGCCCTCTCAATCTCTCTGCCAATCACCTCAGGGATGAACTTTGCTACAAGTTCTTTCAGATCACAGGTTGAGGCCTGGTTAACCATAATTTCCCTCATCTTACGGCGGATCTGAGAAAAGAACAGCCGTTAATAAACATTGAAATTGTGCGAGACTACTGCTTTACTAATCAACAATCCAGGAAAAGAAATCTGAACCTGACGAATCTGGCTGGACTGGGCATAACAGGTTCGCTTGACCTGGTTTGCACGTCTCTTGGTGAAAGCAATGCAGAACAACCTCAAGGTGTAATTGTCAGTAGTCTTAACATCAATATGGGATTCAATTAAAGTCTGCCACTTGCGCACCAAAGATCGCAGCTTGTCTGTGGTGAAGTTCATACCCTAAAATTCAGCAAAGAAAAGTTATAATGCTTCATTTAAACAGTATTATATAAAGATAAATGCATCCTATGTAATTGTGCTAACAAAATAAACCATAATGCTACCTAGTACCTACCCAGAAGTTTGTGAGAACATTTCTCCCTTGCACATCCTCAGCTCTAAGTCGGATCTTCCTGTAAGCTTGATCTTCATCCTTCTGAAGGTCAGCCAGAGAAACCTCAAACACTCTATGCTTAAGCCCTTCAGAAGCAATCTGTCAGAAGAACACAGCAAACTAGTCAGTAGCAAAACATAAAATGTTTAATTAAGCTAAAGTCTCCCAATTAGTAGAACTGCCACAGGTTGAAAGGTAAAAAACAATTTCTAACCGGCATGTCTCATGCTTTGGCTTCAAAAACACTTACTTTAAACATGTTATTCTCTCAATCCACCCATGTCAATGTTCTACAAATTAATTAGTATAAACCCAAAGATATCACAAGGATTGAAGCTATAACTATATTAATTACATCTAATATCTGTAGCATCATTCCCAATTCATGGCAACCAATAAACCATCACCTAAGTAACTCTATTCCATTAGCACTCATTTTCAATCCCCAAGTAAGAATTAAGTCCATCAGCTCATTTCCAGTTCCATTAAGAACATCCAAATAGTGAAAGAAAAAACATTTGAACACTAAAAAAAGCATTAAAAGAGAAAAAGGCTAACCTTTGTGCCCTGAGTTCTAGTAACAAGAGTTTTGCCAATGTTCCTTTCATTGAACATTGAAGGTGCCTTGATATCATACCAATCCTTCTTTGCAAAAGGATCAACTCTGTTTCCAAAACATCAAAAAATACAAAAAAAAAAAAAAAACCATTAAATTATAATCTATCATAAATGCTACAAAAGATCAGATCTTTAATATAAAGCACTTCTTTTATTATCAGACTTACGCCTTCTTTTTGCCTCCCTTTTTCCCCTTTGATATCCTCTTGTTCTTCCTGCAAAAAAAATTAAAAATTAAAAATTAATCACCGAAAACCCTGATTTACCTAGATTCCGAAATAAAGTTAGAATTTTGGAAAGATAGGGGCTACCCGACGGCCATGGCTAGAGAGAAAGAGTCGGGTTAGGGTTTCTGGAGAGATGAAGGAAGTGAGAGCGAGAGCTTAAAATGATACCCTAATCCGTACAAACCCGAGAGTTGCACGGTAGTTTTGATTTTATATGAACGGCGGGTTTTGTACATACGACTGTTTTTGGCAATAATTTACGCAAATGCTTTAGGGAGGGGTTCGCTAAGGCCTTTTATTTTTGGGTATTTCTGTTTTCTGTATAATTTTTTTTCTTTTTTTTTTTTTTACCAAATAATAAAAAAAAAATATTTTACAGAAATGTGTAACATATGTTCGGAAAAATCATGGTTTACTCTTCTGGCTGTGGTAAAAAAAATGTGGGTCAAAACCATTACAATAAGCTTTATTATTATGAGAAGTACATCCAAAAACTCATAAAATTATGCAGAGAAAGGGAAATTTATCGCATAAAATTTCTAGTTTTTATGGCAGTATCCTGAATAATACATCACAAGACCTCAAATAGAAGATTAGAATGGAAACAATAATGGCAAATTCTTGGAAAGTTAAAACATTTCTGAAAATTATCTTAGACCCCTTTTCAATTTCAGAGTATGGGACAATAATGAAAGCCTGGTTCAATCAATGTCATTGGCTTTAGACTAAATTTTCAAACTTCTTAAAGCAGAAGTAAGCAGACTGAGTTTGTCAGAAGCTCTCTGCTTGTAGTCTTTCTCCAAGGCTGTTGCTGCCAAAGACTGGAGCTCTGGACTCTCCTTGTCTTCCTTGTTCTTTCCTTTTGAAAGCTGTGCTATGGCAGAGGTGCACTGAACATGAGGATTAAACTTTAGGTTAGAAAGATAAAATCCGAGGACTCAGGAGAAGAATGAGTGCAAAACTAATTTTTAATAAGATTTCGGTTAGTAAAAGGATAAAAGCTGATGCATGAGTCGAATAAATAGTAATGCATCTTAATTCTTAAAAGAAAGGGAAGGAACTTACCAAGCAAATTCCAAGAAGTGCTCTGGTATTTTTGCCCCCAGTCAAGTCTACAGTCGATGCATAGTATTTCTTGGCGGTCAGAAGGTTTTCTAGTCCAGCGAGTGTGTAAAGCACCTATTGATGAAAAGTGCAATAAACAATCATTGAAACAAGCATCAGAGGAGAATCAAAAGAGTTCCCATTAGAAGGCTTTCTGTTAAACCAATGCAAGATGGAAAGTATCATCCTGTATAGAATGAGACCTATTAACAGCTATCCAGTAGTTACCTTCTTGGCTGATCGGGAACCATTGTTGTTGTATGGTGAATTCATGGTCTATACATTCTAGAATAACCACAATCAGTACGGAAGTGGTTCTTTGTTTTATGGTCTTTATATTCTTGCAGAACCATAATTACTACCGAACCAATTCTATATTTGGTTGATTAACTATAAAAAGAAAAGAAACTAAAAGAACAGCATTTGCAAAAGGAAATAGAATGTCATTCTCTAGAAAACTTGGAATTTGGGAAGCCACTAATGAAGCTGCATCCAAGTTTCTAAATATAATAAAGAAGGCACTTACATCAGCATAGGCCAAATGATATAATGGAACCGTAGGTTGAGATAAAATAAGCTCCTCATAGCAGAATGCTGCTTGCTTATACCTGATTTATCAACAAAAATATAAAAGAGCTTAAGCACTGCTATGTTATGAATTGGTAACATAAAAGGAGATAATATCAAGCCATATAGATTAACACTCACATTTGTAAGGAGAGATATATCTCTGCAAGTTCTCTCCAAGCATCATGATCCGCCATAAATCTGGCAAAAGAAAAAAAGGAAATTGAGTGTCATTTGCTCTTCCGTATATTATTGAATTAGGATAAATAAACAATAAAGGATAGACACAAAAATGTGTGCGAGAGAGAGAAATATCTCACATCTCAAGATATTTATTAAGCCACTCGATAGCCCCTGAAATATTTCCTTGAGCTTTTGCCATGGCTACTCTCCTCCTATGTATTACCTGCACAAAAATAGGATTTGTTATCATTGATGCCTTTTGTTTTATAAAAAGAAATAGCCCATAATATTTCTCCATAAAAAAAGAACACCATTAAGATTGACTCTTTTGGGAAAGGAAGACAGAAGAAAGGGGGGGGGGGGGGAGGAAGTGGCTGCGGATTTACTTGATCAAGCGGATTATCCTCTAAAAGGCTTGAGTAAGCTTTTTCTGCCTCAGCCCAGGATCCCTTCGCTTCAAGCAACATGCCCTCCAGCCTGCCTGTGGACCATGACAAAACAAAACCGCTAGGCCATTCAATGTTAAGAGCAAATGAATACAGTCACCAGCAACACATCCATTGGAACCCAGAAGAACCCAAACTAATTTAAGAACAAATTTGCCCATCCTTACTCATGCCATAATACCACTAATGTGTAAGCCCCATAAGGTTTGGGGTAGAATATCGGCCAAGATGTTCAGAGCTTAACTTAGGTGTGTCAACTATCAAAGGATAGGCCATGAATGCATGATTCACAAATCAGTGCAACAGTAGCAATATATACATACATTCTTAGTCATACAAACTGAAAACATGGAACATATATTTAATTGTCATATGCACTTACCAACCCTTTTGCTCTCCGGAAATTTCTTCTGTAAAACCTTTATGCAATCCTGCAATAATAAATTGCACCAATTTAAGACAGGTAACTTCATTAGCCTACTACCAACAGGTAATCAGAAGCATCTAAGCTAAACAGAAGTATACTTCAAGAAAGAATGCAAGAAAATAACAGATAAGCATTAGAACTGAGTCAGGAAAGCCTACACCAACAACAATATTGAACAAGAGTTACACCATTCTGCACATGCAACAGGCTAAAGCCAGATGTTCTAACTAATGTCTTCACAGAGCACGAGAAAACTACACCATCTTAAAGAGCTCTTAACATGTTCGAAAGAGAAACCAAATCAACAATGAGAGTGGGGTCAATCCGGTGGGACAATCACGAATGAAATGGGTAAAAGAATAGAATTAGTTTTGTACATAAATGCAAGTCTCAATCTCAAAAAAGAATTCTTTAATGTGAAAATTACTTTAACATAATATAGATACAAAAAGCTTAAAAGCAATCCAAAACGGAAAAACTTCACATACAAGATTTGTACCTTTGCAACATCAAGACATTGGCAATCCATAGCAGCAATAGCTACCTGCTCATATAGAGTCCATTCTGTATCAAGATATAAGTAATTGTTATTAATTATTACCGTTCAAATCTTCAATCTTTAAAAAAAAAATAAAAATCATAAAGCTTCAAGTTTTATTTTAAATTCAAGCAAATTAATAGCAGGGGCAGCAATCCATAAAGCTTCAAGTTGTGAAATTCAAGCAAAACCCAAGTAAGCAAATAAAAAAAAAAAACTAAAAGTCGAACCTCTAAAAAAAAAAAAAAAAAAAACCCAATCACAAAAACCACTAAAAAAAATCAAAATTCAAATCAAACAGTTGAAATCATCCAATTCAAGCAAAACCCAATTTCACAAATCAACAGAAGAAACTTAACAAAGGAATAAAAAAAAAAGACTAACCTTCAGGGCCAAGAGCAGATCTTTTTTTGGGGTCATTTAAGATCGATAAGCCATGCTTCAAGACTTTGTCTGAACGCCTAACTTTGAGCTTCCTGACAAGGCAAATATACTCCCAAGTACCTCCTCCTCCATTGTCTACCTGGTTTTCAAGCCTATTCAATTGGGTCTCCTCTGTTTTGCTCACCATCTCTCAATGTAGACGTTTTTCTTTTCTTGGAGGATATCTATTAGATTGTTTTTAATTTGCTCTATTTTTGGTTTCTCTCTCTAGTCTCTGCCGAGTTTCCCGTCTATTGGATCTCTATCTCCAGAGTAGACTAGTTAATTGACTTTTTGAAGCACTTTCGTTCCTGGTTTTGTCCTGTTTGGTTCCAACATCCAAACTCCCAATTGTTGAGAGGCAATGGGCTCTATCTCTGTTGTGTTTCTTTTCATCAAATCTGTTTCTTGGTCTAATACCCAAGCCATACCATCAGCCTAAAGGCCCAAATAAAGGGCCGAGTCACCAGGGCACCAACAAAGAAGACCCTGGTAAAGCTATAAAACGCTGCGTATTACACCAATGACCAGACCGTTAAACCATGAGGCCTGCGGATACCAGAAGATATGTGGCGTACTGGCGTCTCAGTTCTAAAACCCTACCACTACTACCACTGCCAAAGCTACCCATCATATTCAAAATCAAACTTGACAAAAACTCCCATCATCAAATCCTCAAATACCTTAACTTTAATGACGACCATCACCGAATCCGATGTGGGAATCCTCTGTTTCATCTCCAGCCTCCCTGGTTTCCGTGGCGTCCTCAAACAAAGGTGAAAGCTCCCTTCTTTTTTCTTTTTGACTTTTACTTAAAAACCCACTTTTCTTTACATGCTTTTGCAAATACCCATATGTTAAATTTTGTTGCTTTTCACGTGCATGAATGAAAATCTGTTTGCTTGATTGGTATGGTGGAATTAGGTTAATTTTAGTGGTAAATAGTTTAGCTTGACTCAAGCTTGTGTCTTGGTAGTTGTGTAGGTATAATGAGTTTTAGCTAGAAGGGGTTCTTTGTCTTTAAAAGAAATGGGAAAAATAATATGTGGAATGAGGAAAATTGGAAGTTTTGAGAGTGATTTCTTTGTTATGAATTGGTTATAACTGCAATAGGAAATGGGTTTTTTTTTTTTGTAATTTGATTGCTTTGAATTTTGTGTGTAGGTATTCTGATTTCATTGTGAATGAAGTAGATACAGAGGGAAATGTTGTTCATTTGACCTCTTTGGATGCCCCTCTAGAGGTAGTCTGACTCAAATTCCATTTTTCAAATGTATTTTATGTATAGTTAATAGATGATAGATTTTTTTTTTAATATCTACTCAGGTTGTTGAGGAAGGTGAAACAAAGATATCTGATCAACTTAACAAAAGTTATGCATCTGAAATTGAAAAATTCAGATCACTTGCAAGTGACACTGATGTGGATCTCTTAGAAGCTCTTCTTAACCAAATTACTTCAGGGAGTGAAGAAGATATCTCTCCCATTCTTCTGTCTCCAGACTCTGATAAATTTCATCGAACAGTAAGCTTTGGATCTTCCTTTTTCAATTTATTTATCCATTAATCTTTCTGCTCCTTTAGCATTTAGGGTGCTACTCAGTCTCGTGCGAAGAGGGAATCAAACGAACTAGAAGGCTCTTTTGATTTTGAGTTTGACATTTTCAGGCAATGCATAATTTCTTTAAGGAGAATCTTAGATTCCTTGTCACTGACACGGTTGACGGACCTGATTCTTCCTCAAAATGCATTCGTGTGAGATTAAATTCTGGGAATAACAACAAGGGCAGAAATTCCAAGAAAAGGAAAGAGAGATGTGACAAGCCCTACGATAGTAGAGGTTCAAGCCACTGGCCAGAGCATCTTGGCAAGTTCCTTAGGTAGCATATTGTACTTCTACATTAATTTGATGCCTTTTAAAATTGTAGAAAAAAAATTATGTTAAGCTTTCTCCTTTCTGACTTCAATTGCTTATCTATTCCACAAAGCGTTTATTATTGCATTTGAACTACATTTTGAAGGTGTTATCTTCTATGTTGATATTCAGGTTCCATCTTTTCAAGGAGAATAAAGATACACAGGAAGCCTTGGGATTGATAGGAAAGATGCTAGGCATTCAGGTATGAAGAAGGATTTATTTAAAACATGTATTGTATCTATTCAATGGAAACCTTTTCATTAATATTGTTGTTTGGCAGCCAAGGTCATTTGGTTTTGCAGGTACAAAAGATAAGCGGTCAGTTTCAACTCAAAGGGTAAGTTGGTCATGCTTTGGCTGCTTTTGTGCTAAATTAATTAGTGTTTTGGTTAATTTTGGGAGATTACTTGCTCTGCTTGAATTGTGTAGCTCATTTTGGGAGATAATATAATGAAAAAGATGCATGTGATGTAGTGTCAATTCTATTCTAAACTAAGTTCGCAGAAGCTAATCTTTAGCATCTTGAAGAAACTGATGGATGGATTTCACCTTTAAGAAACTTTGTAAGGTACAAAATTAATTAAAATTGCTGCAATTTTAATTTCTTGACCATAAATCTATAACCAATAACTATGTACTAGAAGAACTGGGATATGCCCCCTTAGGAGACCCTGAAAACCATGTTAGTAATTATGCATTTCAAGGGTATAGAATTTTAAGTTATTAACACTGCCGTCTGACTAATGGCTTGTTAGTTTCTTCATGTTAAATGCCTCCGGCACTTTCATCTGTGTATGGAGGGCTCTGATGGCGATTTTTTTTCTTGTGTATGTATACATCTGTGTATGTGTGGGTTTTTGCAGCATAATAGATCATGCTTAAGTGGAACACTTTGTTGGTTTCCAGGTAACAGTTTTCAAGCAGCATGCCGGTAGATTAGCTGCACTTAATGAAAGGTTGATTGGTATTAAAGTGGGAGACTTCTGGTAAGGTTGATTGATTTAACTGTAGAACCGTGATTTTTTAGTTAAACCTAGAAAAGTGGGAGGAATAACATCACACGAAGTATGGTTTTCTAGCTTTAACTAAAAAAATCAGGGTATTAAGTTAACATTCTGGTTTTCCTATCAAGTTATTGTGTGATGCACCATTACTTATAGTGCCATTATCATCTAGCTATGTCAAGGATGACCTTCTTCTTGGGCAGCTCTTTGGAAACCGATTCACCATCATATTGAGGTGAGATTGTTTTCCCACATGTGAATTCTGTTTTTATGTTGTCTTATTCTGTGAACATCCGTCAATGCTACTATCACCTTCCAATATCCCATCACTAATTTAACTCATTTATCTCCTCAGAGGAATTGTTGCAGATTCTGAAGAGACCATTAAAGCATCTACAGAGTCCTTGGGAAGGCATGGCTTCATCAACTACTTTGGTTTACAAGTACTTTCGTGATCAACACTCTTTCTCATCTTTCTTCCCTCCCTTCCTTTTTCCTGATTTGTTCTTGGTTTTATATTCTTTTCTAAACCTTTATAATTTTTCAGCGTTTTGGAACTGGTTCTATTCCAACTCATCACATTGGGGCCACGTTACTACGAGGAGAGTGGAAAGTTGCTGCAAGCACAATTCTTGATCCAAGAGAAGGGGATATCCTTTATTTATATTTATTTTTCGTTCCTTTTGGGCAAAGCACTTTTTATATGCTAGACTGCTCAAAGGATTTGCTGCATTCAACTCAAATATCAGTTGTTTTCTTGACTTAAATCTCTAAATACAAAGAAATGTTATAAGAAAGGCGCGGGAATATTATAAAGAAACCGGTGACATAGAGGGGACTCTCAGGCAATTACCTCGTCATTTAGTTGCAGAAAGGTCTATGGTAAGTTCCCAGCTTTGTCACTTCTGCATGGCATTAATATCCATTATTTCTTTCACAAGGGTGTTTACTCAAGATTTTCTTTTGTGTCTGCTTCATAATAAAAGATAATATTTATTTTTCCCCTTTTGCCATCTCATTCAGCTGCAGTGTTTGAAGAAATGTCCTGGGAATTACTTGCAGGCCTTGAAAGCTATACCTAGGACTTTGAGAATGATGTAAGTGCTTGATGTGACTGGAAGTCAGGAATATGATTTTACTCTATTTCTAAAACAGTCAGCTTCCACAGAGGAGTAATAAACATGATTTATGTCTGTGTGCTCTAAATTTTCATCAGTAGTCTGTTTTTGTGTAATAACTGTATAAGTGGGCTCAGGTTCAGTCATTTACTTTGCATGTGGATTCATCTCTCACTATCTCATATTTCTTGCATAAATCCTTCATGCTAATATGTTAGTTGTCTTGCCATTAATTTTCAATTTTATTTTGCTGTTAAACAACCATATTACCTTGGATACGAATTACTCTGGCAAGTGGAATAGGAAAGCACGAGATAGGCTAAGAAGTCAATTTAGAGCAGCTTCCACTAATTTTTCAAGAGAATAAAAACTTACCGAGTGCAGACTCTTGAAGTGCAGAACTCTCTGTATATTTTCATGCACCCATGTTTGATATTGGAGTTTACAGCTCACATGTGCATGGCTTTTAATTAGTTATTTCCTGTGTACTTCAGTAGCTTGATTTGTTACTTAAAGTTTGCTTGTTTCCCCTTGTGTTCCATTCTTGTTAACACATGAGTATAGTTAGTTGAGTTGAACAAAGCCTTATCCCAGTTAATTGACATTGGGAATTACATTAAGATAATTATTGAGATCCTTAGGATCAGTTTTCTATGGCTCTCAAGAGTTGTATAGAGATATATCCTCCTCTCAATCCCTTCCTTCTCTCTCTCTCTCTCTCACGCGCATATACACACACACGCACTCATTCATGAGAAGAGTGATATTGAATCTTAAAATTATCAATGTTTTACTGATCAGGTATGTACATAGTTACCAAAGCTATTTGTGGAACCATGCAGCAAGTATGAGAGTGCAAAAATATGGTATGCAATTTTGTTTTTATGATCCTTTTTTTGTTGTTTGGGGGAGAAGGTTGTCGTATACACAATGCCTTTATAGGGTATGCTGTCATTATTTTCATTATCTGAGCTTTATTAAAATGTTTCAAGGTAACCGATCTAATATGGTTCTGTCATCCCACCATACGCAGGAAGCAATGAAGTTGTATTGGGAGACTTGGTATATGGTAAAGGAGATGATGCAGAAAAAGTGAAAGTTGTTCCATCTGAATATGAAGATAATAGCTTTGAAGATGCTTATGATTGTAGTCAATTAGATGAAATATCTGGAAAAGATCTTCCAGAAGAGAAAATTAAGCTTGTTAAGGTCAATTATTACCTTGTTTTAGATCGTGTTTTAATTTTTAAATTATAAACTGAGGTTTGAAAGGAAATTAAAGAAAAAAGATTGATAAGACTTCAAAGCAGTTTGTTTTATTCAATACTATAGATGATAATTTCTTTCCTAATTTTGACTCGCAGCAGAAGTAAAATGTGAAAGTTCTGATTTTGGTGCCATTAGCTAATCATCTGCTATATACTAACTTAGCATCAATCTTTTTAACCTAGATTAAAAGAATTTAAGATAGCTTCCACTTTCTGGCAGGTCATAACTGCATCAGATATTAGTACCGGAAATTATACTATTGAGAATGTTGTCCTTCCTATGCCTGGGTAAGGGAATACAAAAGTAGTCAGTAACAGATTTTACATTGCTCATACCATTTCCATAATGAACTGTTATTTCTTTCTTTCCTAACAATGTTATGATGTTTCCTTGGCAGTTCTAGAATAATATATCCAATGAATGATATTGCTGATGTTTATCATGATATGGCAAAGAAGGTTTGCTATCTTTCTTAATGTATATTAAATACAGAATTTTATGGTTCTAATAATTTTTGTTTAATTCATCAGGATGGGATAAGCTTGACAGAAAGTGTCCATAATATCAAGTACATGTTCATAACTGAAACCATCCTATATTTTTCCCAAGAATTTTCTTCCCATGGCCATCTCCCTCTTCATCTTTTTTTTTTCTTGTAGGGAATTTTCAATAACCAGTATGACTGGAAGCTACAGGCGTGTTTTTCAGAAGCCAATTGATTTTCAATGGTATGATCTGCTTTTGTTATCATTTGTCCTTTTTAGCAGTATTCTTCTTTTAGATGCCTTGGAAGTATTGTTGAGCAAGTAACACCCTTAATGTTGTTTCAGGGAATCACTCTCGTATACAGATGGAAATATAGCATTGTCAGAGACAGATTTAGACAAAATTGCCAAAACTAAATCCGTGAACCATTTCAAAGAAGAGAAACCAACCAATGGAACTGAGGGCCAAGAGCCATTTGATTATATGGAACAAATAGAGAGCTTTGAGGATGATAAAAAGTTTTCAACTGACAATGATGAGGTGGAGGGTTCTAGAGAAGCTGAGCCTCCACAAATTCATTCTCTGCCTGACTCAAATTCTCAGGGAACTCATAAGGCTCTCAAGTTGGCCTTCACACTTCCTGCTTCGTGTTATGCCACAATGGCAATAAGAGAGCTTCTAAAGACATCAACTTCAGTATGCACTTTGGCTAATTTTCTTTTGTTTGTCGATTCTGAATATGCCTATACAAGTCATAAGATTGAGAAATTATTTCCAAACTCATCTCAAATTATGGCTCAATATAAACATCACCTTACTTTGTTCTTTGCTGCATTTGCAGGTTGCATTCCACAAGACACTTAATGAATAAGCATGTTGCAGCTCACATAGTTTATGACACTAGGATCAGGTTGCCATGTCTTTCAGCAGGTTGCTCAAGAATTAAGAATGAGAAAATAAGGTTTATTCCCATATGCTGGGATTCATTTTTGTTTACATGTAAGGTACATGTTTCTATAATCGAGACAAACCTTCCCCTCTCTGCCGAATAGCACATTGTTTGACTTACCATAGTCAGACATGCATTTTTGTTTCCAAGCGGTAAATTTTCCTTTAGTCACCCACTGATTCCTTTAGGATGCGTGAAATTGTTATGTTCATGCATGTTGTGGTTTTATGCACTACTGCTTGTAGTCAAAAGGATATGTATCTGCATCAATCAGCTCAATGTTTTGACTTCACAACACTAGCCATATGTTTAAAAACCTTGTTAGATTAGAGTAGGGTGAGTAGTTAATCCCAAACCTTCTTGCAGGTGAAAAGTTTGAAAGGCAGACATTGCTCAAAGCTTTGGGAAATAGCAGTCATTCAGTTGGCAAAAGAAAAGAGAATGATGCATCTCTATAACACTCCAATATAATGTATCTCTAAGTTTTAATTTGTTTCATTTTTTTCCTCTTAAGTAAAAAAGGAAATTACTGTAATAGACTTTGTTGTCGAAGAATTCATTTGATTCAATTTTTAAAGCCAAGTTTCGGTGCAAACTAGTTTTCTCTGAGGCAGAAATACGATACTTTCTTCTCCCCTTCTAATCAACTGCTGGCCTTGCCATTGGCGTCAGTCTCTTGTCAAGGCAAGTTTTGAAGGATCTCGAGAAAATTCCACCAACATGTTCCTTGTGCAAAGATACTAAGTCATCCAATCATTCAAAAAAAAATTGAAAGAAATTGTTGGTACATGTAATGATGGTATTTTTTTTTTTTTCAGAATATCATTAAATCATTCTTTTACTATAAAATTTTTGCTTGATCAAGCTTTGATACCACTAATTAACTGTGCAAGCAATGAACAGATATTCAGATTGTCATGAGCAATGGAAATTCAGAATGTGAAGTCTAGTCTTTTCATTCATATAGAAATAGAAGACTGTATTATTCCGATGTTAAATCTTGATTCAACAATCTCGTTCGTCACTTCTGCTAAGGGTTGAGAGTTGTTAAATCTTCTGTTAGAATAAAGTTGCATGAGGCTGCAGTTAAATGAATCAGAAAAAAGAGTTAGACAATGTTACTTTGAAGAAAAAAAAAAGGGGAATTTGAACCTACTGCAGTGAACTCGACTTACCTCATTTGTAACAAGAGATTTCCTATATTCAGAATAACTTGTTGGGACACTGGTGTCAGTACCCTCATTCTCATTTGGTGTAATTGTTGATTGATAAAGTTTGACAAACCATGGTTCTTGATTCTCATCTGCAACGCCTTTTGACTGTGAAGATGAATATTGCTGAATATTGTCATTCATTTCTTCAGCTGAAGCCGTTCTCTTGCCCTTTGCTTTGAAGTTCATTGTTGGTCGTTGTTTTGGTTCACTTTGTGACCTGACTTTGGCCCTTGAAGATTGTGTGTTGGCCATGTAATTTGGTGTGCATGGATACTCATGAGAACTGAAAGAGGATCTTCCCGATGTTGGCTTGGGCTTTGAAGGAGAATGTCTAGGACTGTTGTGTGTCGTGAAGGAAAACTCCTCGTGCTTTTGTTCTCTCTTTAAGATTGAAAGCTCTCCAGAGTAATATCTGGTGACTCCACGCTCAATCCTCTCAATTTGTGAATGATTCATAAAACCATTTTGGCTCTTGACAATTCCATGCTTTTCATAAAGATTTATATTAACGGCTTCCTGTATATGAACATAACATTGATCATTAGTTGTTGAATTTGGAGCATTGTATCTTACTAGCTTTTCTTGCAAGGCAATAGGTGATTGACTTTATTGCACCAATAGTTCATTTTTGGCTGGTTAGAAAATGATGGAAACTGAAAGAAAACCAATCAAGTTATCTGATCCCTTGGGGGTATGGAGCTTAGTGCATTCATGGAAAGAATTGTAATTCGAAGAACATTGAGTTGTAAGAAGAAAGACTTACTCTCTGTGCTCTTTTGAACCCCATTTCCTGGTGAAACCTACCGTATCTTGATGATTGGCTTTTTACTGCAAGTTGTGATTCCTCAGCCATCTGGATTCTCTGAAACCGAGCTCTAACTTGTATTGCCATTAGAGCATGCATACTTCGGAGAGTAGCAGTTGTTTGTTTTCTCACCAGGTGACCCCTAACCAGTGCTTGCAACTTGACTAGTCCCCTTAAAGCATGCAAAGCTTTCCTAGCCTGCAATATTGATATTAATATATAAGATCATTTCTCTACATGTTCTGTCCTACTTGAACTAATCAAAGCCTCTGCAACCCTGGAATTCAAGACTTAAACTATCAGTGGAAAAAAAGATTAGGATTATTACCAAATAAGAACGAAAGGCGGCTTGAATCCTGGTGGCTGCAGCATCTTCTACTGCTTTGCTTACTAAAGAAGCTGCATATGTTGCTTTTGTTTTTCTTTTGGTAGCACTTGCCATTGTCATTGCCAAAACCCTGGTGTTATCATGCCGATTCTCCAGGTCCAATACAGCTTGCTTTACAAGTGGAGTAGCAGTCATTGAGTCAAGGGACCTGGAACTCTTATGAGCTTTACCTTTACTCACCAACTTCCCGAAACTCCATCTCCTCTTAAAAGGAGTTGCAGATGGAGTTGCACATGGGGTTGTCATTACACTTCCTTCTTCAAATGATGTGGAAATATTTTTCCTTCTTCCTTTATCCTCTTTTCTCCCCAACAAGAAATTTACTAACCATCTGCTTGCCTTTCCCATGTCTATCACACCAAGAAAGATCAAAGATCCTACAGAAAATCAATACTTACACCACTCTTTTTCTTTGCCCAAATACTTGTTTATAGGACTTTGGCTACCGTATAATATATGCAATAACTTGTTGATGTTGTTGACTGGTATTTTTTTTAATTCATGTATGTTGGTACGGGTTTTCTTGCCATTAAATTTATGTCCTTCCAATCATTTTATATTGACTTAAGGCCTGCAATGGAAAACTCACCCTGATTAAGCCATTTGCCACTCCCTTGAAGATTTCTATCAAAGATTCCTCTTCACTTGATGGAGCTTTCTCAACTGCTAAGCTTTTGTTTCTTTGAAAGTAGGGGCCCTCAATGAGAGACTAAATCTGGCCCCATTTGATGTAAATTGTAACTTTGAGTGAATTACTTTCTAACAGAAAGCTTTGTCAATACGAGATTATCTCAAAGAGATAAAAACATTTACCTGCTTTTAGACAAAACAAAAAAAAAAAAACAAAATCGGAAGTTTGACTTATATTAAAAGCTTATCTAAATTGGGTTAATATTATAATTATCCTGAATTATATTTAAATATTTAATGTAATATCAAAATTTTAAAAATATTTAATATGATAATTAAATTTTAAATTTGATAATTAATATGGTACTTACCTTATTATTATTAGCTTTAAATGATAACACGTAATTGACAAACAATCATTTAAATATCATATTAATTAAAAAATTTATAATTTAAATATCATATTAGAGATTTTAAAATTTAAAATATCATATTAAATATTTCATCATAATTCAAGTGTCACAGGTGACATTATCCTTCTAGATTAAAAAAACGTTTTTTATCTTTAAATGTTTCGGATCAAACAAATTTTGTTGAAAGTGCATTTTTCCTTACTGTTGATGTGCAGTAGCCTTCTCTTGAGTCTACTCGTGCAGACCCCCTTTTGCTGAACCTTTTGAATGGATTAGCTTAGTGCTTATTTTCAGATATAAAAGTTGTGAACTAGCATTCAGAGGCATGGGGATGGGTGGTTCAGGAGTGGTGATGATGGCCTGGTGGGTTAGGGTACCTAACGCCCGGAGACTCTGGGACTGGAAGTTCCTTGTAACCACAAAAGTAGTCTTCTATCTTTTCTCATCCTGGTTAAATATTGCAGTGATAAATGAAACTGCAAGTTCTATTTTGGTACAGAACAAAGATTCCTGTTTCTATAAGACAGTTTAGGCCTCAAGATCACCATTTTCCTGGTTAATAGTTTTAAATGAACATGTTGTATCAATCAGGAATATGAACAAAAATCAATAGGTAGAAGATAAGTTTTTTCTCTTTGAACTCCCATCATCCATCTCAAAGAAAATAATCGAACTTGATGCACAACGGGAAGCAAAAAGGAGCAGGAAAATCAACTACAACCTAGAACTAACAATTAGCGTTTGTTTGAAACCAAAATGCCTAACCGCTAAGATCCTCTCAACGGGAATCATTGCCTAAAATCTGATGAGCCTGGACTGTAAAAAATTGATACAGGTTACAGCTACAGATATGATACAAATGGCAGTGGTTCCTCCGTATTAATCCTCCTGCTTGGCAGTGTTCTCCTTAAAGCTCTTAGTCAACCAGATAGCAGTTTCCCTGGGGGAGACCTTCCCGGGTCCAAATGGCTTTAGTAGCACACCAAGCTCGTCATACCTCTCTTGCTGCAGCAACCTTGCACTAAATTCAAGCAACCCTTCCAATGCCTCGGCACGTTGCTGGAATGATGAGGGGTCAAACCTTCGCCTCCGTGTGTCTGATGAGGTACAGCTTGATGCCCCAGCAGTTGCATTCTGATCAGAGGAATCAGTTGCATCCTCTCCATCTGCCTGAAACATGCTGCATTGAATTTGCTGCCATGCATCAGTGAAATGGGGCTTGATAGAAGCCTGATCACATATTCTAACCATACATTTGTCTTTTGTGATTGAACGGTGAACAAATTGCGGTGAGCCAGAGGAGCCCTGTGCAGATACTGATGATGCTTTGCAGATGGGGAAGAATGCATCTTCATACGAGGCTAATGGGAATTCAGCTATCTTATCAATACGAGGAGCATTGACCGAAACATCTGGTGATTGTACGTGGTGAAGAATACCAGCATTAGATCTAGCACGTGCTCCTCGGACTGTAGTTCTTGTTGAAAGTGGCAAGGATGCTCTTCGAGTTGCAGGGATAGATTTTTTAATTGTAGTGCGTGAACCAGGAAACTGTCAACACAAGGCAACGAACAGTAAAAAAAAAGCTTTTGAAACTAGAAAATGTTACCATTAGCAATCTCTAGGAATGTGTTGCACAAGAGTCTGAGAAAAGAAAAGGTGGGGGAAAGCAAAGGAGAGGAGCTCTATGGAATTTACCAAGTCATGGTTTTTCAAGGGCTCTGTCTTTCTCTTGGGAGTTGCAGAAGCTTTTGTCAAAGAACGTCTTGGAGTCTTGGTGATACTAGAAACTTTTGAAGTAACTGGCTTGCAAATGAGTGTTCCTTCATGGCTGCTATCAATAGACAAATCTTCTAACCTTTGATTTAAATAACCCGGTGCACCATGATGTATCCCTTTGGTAGAGCAAACAGAATCTTGCTCAGCTCCAGAAATGCTTGGATTAAGAGTCCTATCATTACTGAAGGACCGACGCCTCTCCCTGTAACCGGAGAAGTGGACAACTATTGGATCTGAAAATCTAGTTTTCTTTATATTGGTTTCAGGCCAATGCACAGGTAAAGTATCCCTTCTAGGATTATTGATTTTATGATGAACTTTATGAACATAAGGCTGAAGGTATGGATGTCTGAGCAGTTCCTCAGCCTGTCACAATGGATATATATCTCAGATGAGAGGAAAGATCACAAATTGCAGAAATGTGCAAATGCAGATGAATGAATACACACAAAATTTCCTTTCAAACTGATCTAATGGGCATGGTTGCAGAAGTGTAATACTAATTGCGAACAAATTGAGAAGATGCAAAACTTTAGCTTTCAGAAAAATACTTTCAAAGCTCATTGGAGAAGTTATTAATGTTTGCTGCCCGACTTTCAGATACTTCCAACATGCTAATCAAACTTAAATGTTGCCTTAGTAGTGTCAAGGTTCGTCCTAGAAATCAAGGAAATTGAGAGTTGTAAGAGCATAATACTTCAGGCAAATGTGTGAAGAGGTAATCCCCTTTCAAACCAAGACAACTTCTCTGGCGTCTATAGAGTATCTTGGAAGTGTTCTCTAGCTCCTGAAGGTAGATGCTGGGGAACCAACATAAGGCGCAGTATGGCACTAAAAACAACTGCACTTTCTCTATCCAATTCTAAAGACATTTATGTATCAACTTACATTTAAGCCCATTATTGTAGACTCGTAAAGATGCCCTGCATATGTTATAAGACGTAGACTAGAGGAGAGTTATACATACACTTGGCCTAAGTTTGGGATTTTTGCGCAGCATGCTCTTAACAAGACCACGACTGAAAAGAAAACCAAGCAATCATTAGACCAACATAATTCATCATTTGAAGATCAGCATATTTGTAAATGAAATTAACGAGACAAAAGCCAATTATTATACTACTCAACTTTTGGTCCTCTACTTCAACATAGCACATTAGCAATTGAAATTTTGGATGCAGCATCAGTACATTATTTAAGTAATTTCCTTAAAGCATTTGACGGAAAATAAACTTTTTGCATTTTGAATAGGCTACTCTTTAACAAGCAGAAATAGCCATAATGATTCCTATCATGGAAGGGAAACGAGGCTTACAAGGCACCAGCATATTTAGTTGGAAGTGGTGCAACTATTGATTTATTAATCTTGTTTATCAGCGCCTGCATATCCTGCACAAGAGATTTAAGATCATTAGAAAAGGCAAACAAAACATGAAATGGGAAAATGATTGCTAAACATTAACTGAAATTTCCCAATGGAGAAATGTGAAATGCATCCGAATGTCAATGCATTAATTATACCTATAAAGTACCACCATGAGAGGGATGCAGCAGCAAATGAGTTATAAGGACACACTGCCAGATATCTGTAACTACGAATCAAATATAATTTTTTGCTACACTGAAATACCACAAGAAACAAATATGAAAGATGCCTAATTGCAATATATCTCAGTTTGCCCGGTTGTCCTTCTGAAGCACTAGCAATGACAAGCAAGATGTAGCTCATTCATGAGGACCAAATAGATAAATCGACTCTGAGTTACTACTCAAGATCTGGCCAAATTACAGCTCGAAAAATGTCAAATGATATGGTTGCCGATAAAACAGACTGTCTAATAAGGAGGTCCTGTAAACATTTGGAATTGATACGAGAATTTTATAAGCTAACAGAACCTCTCATTTCACCATCTAAAACAACACATATACATGGAAATTCGTAAAGACTATATACAACAATCAAACCTGTATATTTTAGGAATCCTTATCTAAGAAGTCCTAAGCATAGACTAAACTAAATATGCAACAAGCTGCAAATGGTTACAAAGTAAAAAAGTTAGGGTAAAAGAACTCACGAATGCTTTAAATGCAGGCTTGAGAGAAGTCATTTCATATATACAGCACCCTGGACGACATATTTTCAAGTCATATAAGCACATATAGAGATAAAAATCTTGAAATTCTATCAAGACTGACTGACAAACACAAGCACCATCTCTGTGCAAGCTTGTTTACCTAATGACCAGATATCTGACTTAGAACCATACGGTATGTCAGCCAGAAGCTCAGGACACATATAGCTGGGAGTTCCAACAACCTGAAAAAACAAAATAGTATTCTCCCCAATTATGATTAATAAAATCAACCGATGCATTAAATTCTCAAAGGTCAGTTAATTCATATATTACTTACAGAGGATGCGAGATCATCTGAAGTCAAAATTTTGGCAAGTCCAAAATCACCTGCACCAGTGTTTGTCGCATCTTCCTTAGGAGAAATAGTAACCCTTTCAAAGGAATTATGTGA